CATTAGTGGATGGAGAATAGCTTTGAGTGGGGGGGCTGGTCATTAATTCCGTATGTATTGTCTCATTATGGACCATCCAACCTATCCAAGCCATGACACTGGGTAGAGAGTTGGCTGTGATATCCTGGCTACAGACGTCTACAGAGGCTAGGGACATTGATTTGAGGATTTTCTAACCCTAGAGATAGTATTTCAAACTAGAGGTGCCTATCAAGAGGGAGTGAGAAGTAGAGAGCTGAGGACCGTACCTGAGGTGCTTGCCACTTGGCGATCAGGTGAAGAGACAGCAAATAAGGAAATAGATGAGAATGAGCTTTAAAAATAGATGCAGGATTTTTTTTCTGTTGCACTGTACTGTACTCATTATGTATAATAATGCTACTCTCTGACACTTATTGCTGCCTTTGGATGAGAGAAATTATACTTAATGTTCCCAAACCTGTGAGACTATTTCTTCAAAGTTTGTTACCCCATCAAAAGAAAAACCCACCAGAAGAGATTTATTCTTATCATGTCATGCAACAGTCATTTCATTTTCAAATCATTAATGGGAAGGCATCCTCATCTAATCGTTCTCCTGCAGAACACTCTCTCAGAAGCCTGATACCATCTCCTCAAACTTCCTCGGAGCTTTACTGATTTCAGCTGGGACACTGAACACTGCTAAATCAAACACAGGATGAGCCCAGCTCCCGGTACTCCTCTTTTGGTATCTCTCAGATCAGCTGATTTCATTTTTTGCTTCTGGTCCTGGCATTCAGCTGTAGATTCTTCCAAGAATTTCATTGCTAACTTACATGAGATAAACAGATAATAGAGAACTGGACTCATTTTCTAATTTACTTTGAAAAGTGATTTCCAGATTGCATTTAGGGGGAGGGGCTGAGTCAGCCTGGGAAGGGTGAAAACAGTCTTCAATTCAGAATTTAAATACATTTTCACAGGAAAATTGTCTTCCTAGGAAGTTCTCCTAAGCACCGGAGGAGGGGTGGGATGGGTATTCTTGCCTGCCATAAAAGAAACCTAATCAAAAGCAGACAATCTGCAATGGTCTAGCCTGCTAGATTCCTATTCAAAGTTAGTTTGCTTCTTTTGATTCCATCAAGCATCTCTCTTAGTAACAGAAAAGTTTACTGCATTCACATTAAATGTAAAAGGGCACTTTCTTGACAATACCTTTCTTGGTCATTGAGATGCATTAGAAGAGATCTTTATTTCTTGACAGCTGAGATTCTGTTCTTCACCATAAAGAAATTCATTTCTGAACTTGTGGCCATTTGAATTGAATTATTTTAGTTTACATTGGAGACTCAGCAAGCATTTGATCTTTGATCTCCTGAGGTGCTTCTCAGCAGATGAGGGTCGGCTGGGGCAGTGCATTTGAGCCCATGGATTCTGAACCAGGTGCCCTGGGTCAAACTTCAGGCACTGCTGTTTGCCAGCTGTGTGAGTTTTATAGGTCATTTAACTGACCCATATCTCAACTTTCTTAATTGTTTAATAGCAATGGAATTAAGTAGAGGACATCTTGTAGAGCTTAAGCAAGTGTAAATTAAGCACTTAGAAGAGTGTCTGTGGTACAGATGCACTATGTTAATTTTAGCTGTGTGTTAGTTATCTCTATCCTGGGGCAGGTGGTTAGACTGTATAATAAGTGGCCCAAGCTTCCATTTATCAATGGCTATTAAGCTCAGTGCTTGACATGTGTTCATCTCCTTTAGCTTTTCTTGCAGGAATGAAAAGGATACCATAATTTTATCCATTCCACAGAGATATGAGCCCATAGTCACACAACTAATAAAAGTAAAGGGGCTGAGATCCAAACCCATGTTGACTCCAAATCCCACACTTGCCCCCTTCATTGTACAGTGGGAGTGAAGGATGAAGGAAAGAAGCAAGAAATGAGGTCCCTGGAGTAGATGTTTTCTTGCACAATTAACCAGGTTACCAGACAGTTTTGGTGTATTCCTATCCCTTGTCATATCCCTTCTGGGGAGGAGCTGAGTGAGGATGGAGGGTTCAGAAGGGCTCAGGGCTCAGGGCTTCCTGGGATTTGAATTTTTTCCCTCTTCTTCAGTTTCACCTTCTGTTAATTTCATCCTTTTTACATCCTACACTTCTCATTCTTTAAACTCAGAATACCTATATGTATGTGTGTATTGTGGATGGATAGCCGACTCAAAAGTCTTAGGGCAGAATGGTGAGAGTTCCATTTCCAGGTAGAGGAAAGAACTTGGGGTTATTAATCCTGGTCCTCTCTCTGCTGTTGATTAGTAAGATAAACCTGGGAAAGGGACCTCATTTTTCTGGCTTTTATCTGTGAGGTTGGGATTGGTTGAAATCTGACATCTTCTGGTGTTGGTCAGCCTTTCCCTGAATCTCTGACCTCTGGGCATGTTGGTGGTGAGGTAGTGATTGTGGTGATGATAATGGATGAGGTGATGGATGGGTGGTGATGATGTAGCAGTAGTGGAGGTGATAATGATGATGGGATGGGGATGTCATGGTGATTGTTGTAGAAACCAAGGTGGAGATAAAGATGATGATGGAGGTGCTGGTTCTAGTGGCCTTGGTTGTTTGAGAGATGGAAATGATCATGGAGGAGAAGATAGTCTTAACCATCAAAGGCTCTTATCTGGCAGCCAGCACTTTACTTAGAACTGTGCCTTCATCTGACGTTCAACCCTCCCAGCACTGGTGTTATCTCCATCTTGCAGATGAGAACCCAGAGCTTTGCAGAGTGAAACTTAGTGTGCCTTTGCTGGTAAAGGTGCCCAGATCATGTGGAGGCAAAGCCCAAGGTGACCAGGGAATACTTTCTCCAGATATTGTGACACTCATGGGGCAGAAGAGGAATCAGTCTGTGTATCTTCAAGTTCCAAATCCTCTTCTATGATAATCTAATTTTGCCAGTAGGGAAATTGGGGAACTTTAGTTGTCAGATTTAATTCTCGTGAGGTCACACAGTATAGAATATAGACACAGTGCCTTCATTGGGTGCTCTTCTGGGTATTTCCTCTTCATCTCTCTTTGGAGAACAGCTCAACTCTCTCTATTGGTATTTGCCTGCAACTTCTCTGACAAAGACCTGGAGTATCTTCATGGGAGACTGTGATTTATAGGGCACTCAAGATAAAGTATTTGGGACAGATGAATGTCTTCCAACACGTCTCTTTGGTAAGTGTGGTTTTCTATATTCTTTTTCACTCAGTGACCTTAATTTGTATTCTATCTCATAGAGCCCTCGTGGAGAGCATCAAGGAAAGAAGTCAGTGTCAGTCCAGAGGGGGTTTAAGTCTAAAACTGCTAGTCCCTGAAAGCAGTTGTCACAATCCAAGACTCTCTAATACCCCTCCAGTCCTCCTTCTTTGTCTAGGGGTTCTGATCTTGCTTGAATGAAGTTTATTATTGCTCAGCTATAGTGCCATGTGCTGAGACCACAACAGTGAAGACAGAGTTCTGCCCTCATAGAGTGTATGGTCTAGTTTAAACTGTAGTGCTATGAGGATGAGTCGGGAGAGAGGTCTTATTGAACTCATGGTAAAGAACTTGCCGTAGACTTGTGTAGACAAGGAAGGATTCCCAGAGGCAATAATAAACAGAAACTTCCAGACTAAGAGCTGGATAAAAAATGAGCAGCTGGGGCTGACAGGAGAGAGAAAGAAAAAGAGAATGAGGAAGAACAGATGAGGAGGGTGTGGTCCAGGTAGAGAATCAGCATGTGCAGAGGCCTGAGACCAGAGAGACTGGATGGTATAAAGTCATGGAGACTGGTATATAGAAATCCTAGGGGTGTGAAACCCCATACTCTGAATTGTGTTTCCCCCAAATTTGTAGGTTGAAACCTTAACACAAAATATGACCATATTTGGATGTGGATAATTAAGGTTAGATGAGATCATAAGGGTAGAAACCTAATCCAATAGCATTGATGGCCTTATAAGATCTCTTTCTCTCTGTTTCCATCTCTCCTGTTTCTCTCAGAGATCCTGCACCAGGCATTGAATCTTCTAGTACCTTGATCTTGGACATTCAGCTTCCAGAACTGTGAGAAATAAATGTCACAAACTGGCTGTTTAATGCACCCATATTTAGAAAAGGGAAGGAAGAAGCCACCTTTAATTCTTATTGCTAATTCCATAGCAGTAGCATGAAGTGGTAGCTGCTATCTTGCTTTATCTTTTGGATAATATAAGTAAACAATACCTCCTGTACCCCACCTTTAAGAGACTGGTTCCCTCTCCTGGGCTGCAGAAGAGGCCTCCAGGAAGGAAGCTCTGACTCTGTGCTCTTGCCTGGTCATGCAGGGGACCTCACCCATCTAGAAAGGAAGGGTTCCTCTGCCTCAGTAATAGACATTTATCACTGATTCTCTTAGGCCCAATGAGAACCTCAGGAAAAAAGATGAGGAGGGAGTAGGATCTGCAGGAACAAACTTATCTTGACACTCTTGAAATGTAGAGGCTACTTCTGCAATATGGCTTGCTGTGGGAGCATGCAGAGGGCAAATATCACTAGGCTGAGAGACTCTATGTTTGGACTCCCAGGCTGTGCGAATTTGGTCACCTTATCACATATCTCTGGGATTTTTGCTGGCTCACCAGTATACACTAATCTCAGGTCTTTTCACTACCAGGTTTCTATGATTTTTATTCTCTAATATTCTCTAATACAAGAAATTAAATTCTATTAGAAAGTGCAGACTTTCAGCTGTTAATCAGTGTTAACCTGGTATGCCTAGTGCTGGGTGGTGGGAGAGGCCCCAGCTGGGACTTTCCCTATTGTGTGGTCCACAGCTCCCTGGAAGATTTGGGGTGCATCATGTCCCTGTTACCACTACCCACTGCCATACTATGTGCCACAGGTAAAAAGCCTGTGGCTTCACCTGCCATGCTGAGAAGTAGCTATGGGCCTATGTAGCTATACCACACTTGAGGGTTTTACTATCAGAGCATTTAGAGCAGGGTGTTTGCATAGAAAGTCACACCAGCCACAGACAGTTGAGGTCCACATAGAAAAATATTTATTTAATGGATTCCAGTTGTTCATTTTCCATGCATCATAAAGGAACACAGGCACTAAACCACAATGACGACCCTAAATGCTATTTACTTTGAGTGCAAGTGGCTGTCATACAGCTCCTAGACAGGAGGGCTTATTTTAGAAACATATATTTGTTACTGTAGTGATTTATAGTTTTCTTCTTGTACTGAAGCTTGTAGAGCATAATGAGGATGTAATGGTTATCAAATTGTGGGCCATTTGGAATCTGCTTCTGTGCCACATTTCAGAGGTCTCTGGCCTCCACATGGTGGATGGAGTCACACTGAGGAGAGAATTTGTTCCTGGGCTCCATCAAATTGCTGGGGCAAGGATGGGACATCAAACCATCTGTCTTTGTAGACAGAAGCAGCCATCTGTGGCATTTACATCATTTTAAATCTGTGGCCTGTGCCCTTCTTTGGAAACCAAACTCCAACAGCTCTTCTATCTTCTAAAGACAATTTCTCAATAAGAGGACAAGGAGGCAGATTTGTTGAGACAAGGGTCACTAAGCTTAGAAGTCACTGCAAGTTGTCCAAGAAAATCTTAGCAGAGTCAGAAGACATGGGACCTAGAAGGGGCTCTCAGTGGTGAGTGCACCTCAGTTCATGTCTAGCTACATCCCCTTTGAGCTGAATCTATAGCCTCTCTACTTTGGCAAAATTAGCTATGAGTGTGAAGCACTTCCTGGCATCCAGCTGCTGGCTATTCTGCAGCTGATTCAGTCATCTTCTCAAGCCCATCTGAGAAAAATAATGGAAAAGGAGAGGTATGAGCTGACAAGGTTGCATGTGGCTTGCTTTGTGGTTCTTGGAAAACATGGAGGAGTGGAAAGGGAGGAAAAGCAGACCAGAGAGAAAGGGAGGTGCCATTGCTTAACATACTGGAGAAACATGTAAAAAGAGAGACCCATGGAGGTGAAAGAGGAAAGGAATGGGGGGAAACAAGAAGATAGAAGGAAAGGGATACAGAGGGAGAAAGAAGATATGAAACAGGACCAAAAAGGAGAGCTGGCTTCTCAGAAAGGAGAGGACCTAGCAGGGTGGTCATTAGGAAGAGGAACCAGAGGGAGGCAATTCTTAATTATTGTCAGTTCAGACCACAGATACTTATTAAAATATGATTCCCCAAAGGCAAACAGGAGACAGTGATTGGGCCCATGCTCACTGACACAGGCTTCACCTCAATTTATGCTTCTCTTAGACTGTTTTCTCCAGCTGGAGCAAACACCATTATCGTCTGGAGAACTTGTTCACTCCTGATCACAGAACTCCACTCCCAAAGTCCCTAATTGTGTACCTCTGGGTCGGGGCCTGAAAATTTGCATTTCTAGTTATGTTCCCAAGTGGTGCTGATACTGCTGTTGCAGGGACCCCTCTTTGAAAAAGAACCACGGTCTTAGAGATGAGAATCTGTCTAGGTTGGTGCTCTATTTGGGTTTCTTGGGTCAGACAAGGTCAGTGAGTGAGAGCAAGGTCTCAACTGGTTTGCAGAAGCAGATTGGCAAACACTAATGTATAAATTGAGAAAGCATTAAAACCTTTTATTGAATATATTTCTCTTTTCCTGGCTCTTCATTCAACTAACCATATGCTTACTTTCCACTGGCAATTGCTATTTAAATGTCAGTTGACAGCAGATGTTCCTCACCCTACTATATGCCAGTTAATTTATTGTCCACAAACCCTGATGGAGTCTTCTCTAACCATGCTAGTTTCCCATCGTCTCCGCCCATGATTTTGCCGCAGCCACCTTGAGCAGGGCAGTTCTCAAGAGATAGGGTGCTATTACATCCCTCTGTCCCATGCTATGCTGTGTCTTTGCCCTTTCCAGATCTTACTTTCCTTCTGGGGGAAGGTCAGCAAATTGCTTAGCTAAGACTATTCTCATGGTCCTTAGCAAACCTGCTGCAGCTGCCCTGCTCTCCTCAGCTTCATACTATCTTTACCTAGGACAAGGTCTGTAATAGACCACAGCCAATTAAAAGATATTTTCTGAGTCAAGAAAGTCCAAAGGGAGGGTTTAATTCTTACTAATTATAACCAGAGTTAGAAAGAACTGGAACATATGGGTAGAAATAGGCAGGAAAAGGAAAGAGCAGCCATAATCATTACAGAAATCCCAAATCATTCTCTATGTACTCATTGTACCCTCAAAGCTCTTATATTTTAGTGAACTGTGACTCCAATACCAGGTAGAAGAGCAAATCTTTGGGATTTATTTAAATCATACAAGCTACCTGTATTGAAGGAGAGATCAAGTTTTCAGATCTTTTCTGCTTAGAACTAGCTAAATAACCTATTTTTAGTAGATACTTCTGTAAAATAAATGCATGGATGAAAGGATAGGTAGAAGATAGATGATAGGTAAAAATGGACTGATGAGTGGATGAATGATAGGTCAATTAATGGATATAAATGGATGGATGGATAGATAGGTGGAATCCTTGTAGCCAGGATACCAGGTCATGACCTAAAGTCACTTTTTGCTTTTTAAACACTCTCCAACTACCTCGGATTGGGGCTTTATCCTTTGAGAGGGGCTCATGTACTTCAGAATTTTTCCAAATGCCTATTTTGTGAGGACCTAGTTCTAATGCTGAATTAAGATATTGAGAAGAGATGTTGCATAGACCTGCCTCTCTGCATCCCATGCTGTGAATGGTCAGCACTTCAGCCTAAAATAAGGAATGGAGAGAACTATAGTAAAAAAAAATAGCCTCACTTGGCAACCTGGGCTAGTGTCCAGTGTTGGAATCAGTACTGCAGGGTAAAGGAATTCTGCTTCCCTGACCCATGGAGGTCTTGGGTAAATTCCTTGGCCTCAAATTTCCTCCTCTGTAAGTTCTCTTCCTACTCTTCCATTCTCTGAGTCTTTAAGAAAAAATCTGGGGAACACATAAATAGTTACCTTCTCTTTAATGTTTAGAGGGGAGAAAACAAAGCACAGCATCAGATATATCAGGGATGCTATGTCCCAGGCTGCAGAACCTCAGGCACTTCTGAAAATTAAACCAAGCAGGCTGACTCAAATGCTGTTGAAATGTCAAGCTACTGTGCAGGATGTTGTTGGATGTCTGCTTCCCTCTGTTTTTTAAACAACATCACTCTGCTGAGGATGAATCTGTGTCATCATCAAATGGCTCTTGTCATTTTAGTGTAGTGATCAAAGAGGAAAAATGAAAGTACTGTTTGCAGAAGAAAACAGATAAAATATGAAGGTATTTCATAACTCAGTATGCAAGGTTGTCTGGAACAGTAATGCAGATCTATCAATAATTTAGTTAAAACAGTTTACCTGCTTTACATGAGTGAGTTCAGATCACAGATCTTCATTCAAATTCACACTAATGTTATTTAACAGTGGGTTGCATATTACACTACACAGACCAAAGCATTATAGATTTTTTCCAAGTGTAATATACATATCCAAATGATTGCAATCAAACATAAATTTAGTCAAATCTTTAATACTCTCTATTAAGGCATGAATAAGACTTTAAAGCTTTGTCTTAGCTACAGAGTAACTGGGACTAGAGTTGAATCAATTGCAAATAGCCAGAATAGAAAGTTACCTTTGGGCATGGTATTTATTCTCAACAGTGTTTCATCTCAAATAATGAACATTTTTTTTTCTTCAGATGCAAAAGTGAGCAATTACCTGTCATTATTAAAATGACAAATTTTACAAGGGGACTAGTTTGGCTTCCTTTTCTGGAGAGCCTAACCTCTATTACATCATCCTTGGGTACATGTCTCACATTTGTCATTGACTGTACCTGAGTGCCCAATGCTCCATTTTCTTTAGAACAAAATTATCTTTCAAAACACAGAAAGAAAGGCACCAGTCATTTTTTCCCACCTCTAGTTGAGGTGGGGAAAGTATATTCTAACAGTTCTGCCAGGTAGCTGGCACGATTTCAGAATGGTTAGGCAAAGTTTAGTGTGAGAAATAAAAATTACATCTTTGTATTTTCAGAATTAGACTTTAAATAATTTGGAGCTCTCTTCTATGGACAGCTTTATATGAGAAGACTTGATAAACCAAAAATATATACATTATTGCAAATAAAGGCTACATAGGAGATTCCTTGGAGCTTCTGTGGTTAGACAAAACTTATATATATGGCCAGGAAAACTGCATTTAGTAGGGGAATGGGAAAAAGATGAAATAGGGAGGCTTGACACCTTGGGGAGGGGCTAGGAAGGATTATTTTCATTTTTACTGTCTGTACAGGAGTCACTAGCCATATGCGTCTGGACCCCATTAAGATGTATGATGAAAATAAAAGTCACACTGAGTTTTGTAGGCGTAGTATGAAAAAAATGAATGTAAAAACACCTCATCAATAATTTTTATATTGATTACATGTTGAAATTACATGTAAAATTCAATTAAGTGTGCATTTAATTAGGGGACACTATTAAAATTGATTTCAGCTATCTCTACTTTTTGAATGTGATTACCTGAAATTTTTAAATCAAATATATGGCTTACATTATATATTTTCAATGGGCAGGGCAGCTCTATGTTCATTTTACATGGTAGAATCTAGTTAAGGTTTACTTTTTGGCTTTACTTCTGTAGTTTTCAAGCTGACAACATTGTGTTTTGAGAGAAAAATAGATATCGTGGATTTTGGAACCAGGCAAGCCCATGTCCTGGCTGTAACATTTGGGCAGCTGACCTCCTCTGAGCCTAAACTTTCTCATTTGTTAAATGAATTGCTGTTTTGACCTCCCTGGTCAGAATTCACCAGGTTGATGTCAGGAGAAACACATAACAAATAAGTAGAGTGTTCAGTACAGAAACTGGCATGGAGAAAACTCAGTAACTATTCAGCATTATTCCTGGTTGCATCTCAAGACCTGTCAGATGCATAATTTTAAAATTCTGGTTCATTTCTAATTCAGATCCTTGTGTCGCTTGATCTTCAGGTTTGTACTTGCTGTCACGTCTACCTATTTCTATCCCCAGAAACATGAATTCTCCTTTCTTTTTCTTATCATTGAGAATCTCTGATCTGATTCCCTATTTTCTGCTACTTATTCAGACTGAGCTCTTTCCCCACTTACTAACTCATTTCAATTTCAGGGCAAGAATTTTATCCCAGCTAAAACTGCAAAGCAAGATACAGCACTTGATCTGCCCCTGTTCCTTTTCTCCTGCCTGGATGCTAGGTCTTGCCTTTTACTCAACTCTGCTTCTTTTGATGGGGTGATTTGTCAAGGACAGTTGAGACCAGACAAGTGCATATGGGAAGCTAACAGAATAAGGGTTGTGTGAGCAAAAGATCAAGAAAAGGAGAAACAAACAGGGAAGAAGAGAAGCATTTTTTTAACTTCTTCCCCCTTGCCCAACTCCCCACTCCCTGCCTTCTTTCTCCTGGTTCTTGCCTGTTGATTTTAAAAGCTGTGCAATGTTCAGTCCCTGGTAAGGACAAGGTGCTTCTCACCTCCTTCCTAGATTCTGCCACCAGAAGAACAACCTCCCACAGTGTAGCATCTCACATATCTAAAACCATGCACTCAATTTCCATATTCTCAGAAATAACATGTAGTTGTTTTGTGAAATACAGTGACAGGGAAGAGAAAAAAAAACTGTAAAACTTTGTGAAGATACATAGCTTCCCCAGATACGGGAAGCTTCCTAGCTCCCTCACAATGAGATGGGAAGAACTACTCACTCAGAACTGCATGAGATGAACACAAGGAGCAGAAACTCAAGAACTAATGTGTGATAGCACAGGTGGCTAGAAGCATCCATGCTCCTCAAGGTCATGAAAAAAGCTCCCTGTTTCTTATGCAAGTGTTTTTTTTTAAATCAGAAAAATGTTGACTTTTTTGTTCTCACCTAGCACCTGTAACTAGGTGATTCAGAATATACTCTTGACTTAAGTTGGTACTTTTTTTTTTTTGCCTTTTCATCTGATCAATATGTTTATTTGCCTATTTTTATTTTTAGATGTACTGATTGTTCTCAGGGTAGCAAATTCAAAGAGAAGAAATAAGCAAATTGGTTTATATTTCAAAGACTAGGCTGAGGTCTAACAGGAAGAACACTTGGAAATTAACAAGAGAGCTGAGTTTTCTAGGCCCTTGTTGCTGATAGACAGGCTTTGTAGAGGACTTGTCTTTAGGGTAGATATTTCTGCGCAAGGGATGGTCAAGCAAGTGTGTGCAGTATGGTCAGGCAGGGCATGGGCACATGGCTATTTTCCTGGAACATTTATTAATAATATTTGCCATCAATCATAGGCAAGAAGTAATCACTGCTGACCATCACTCCCCTAGAAAAATCAGAAGATTTGAAAATGTGAATGGATTTTTCTTATGATTATGACTCCAATTTAGAAGAGGGAGGAAGCATTCCTGAAAAACGTAAATACTACTTTAAGATATCAGCTCTCTACATGGGAACTTATGTTCTGTGCTCTTACTTTCTCTAGAAAAGAGAGCAAATGCCCTGCCGACTCCCTGATCTTCCTTTTGTTTTGTTTTGTCACTGTAGATCAACTCTCATGATAACGGCAATTTTAGTTGTTTGTGTTGTATCTAGCATCTCTGTATCTGTCAGAATCATAGATAGCAATGATTATATAAATCCTCTGCAGGCATGTGGACATGCAAATAGATGTTCATGCAGCCAACATTTGATTCACGCAGGGGCCACTGAATGGTGTCCCTTTGCTAGGGCCCCATGAATTCTGGGCTGCTGACACTGAGCTACAAAGTCAGTGAGCACGTTCCTGGTTGAACTTAAAAAAAGTTGAATGTATATTTATTTTTTGTTTTGTTTTTGGAGAATGTTTCCCACATGAAGGCGGAAGAGGTGATTTATCTAAGTGTTTGAAAAGAAGCAGAGGTGCTGTTGCAGATGTGAGCATCATAATTATAGGTGTGCATAGCTAGCACATATTTGTCCAAAAAAACATTCTCAGTGACTGACTATCCCCGATTTTGCTTCCTTGGGAATTGAATGCAAAATTGGTTTTGCTAAATATGCTTCTTCATTAGAGAAAAAATTCCTTCCACTTGACTAAAAAACATCACTGGGTCTTCTTTGTGGAGACCTTCTTTAAAATACAAATATCATTTCATCTAATATGGCTATACAGTATGCAGACATCTGTTGCTTTAAAACAAAAAGACAAAATCAGATTTATGGACAACATGAAATGTTTCCTGGATACACAAGCAACAATGAAAACATTCTTAAAATTAACAGGCATCAACAGGTATAAATACACTGTCTAAAGCATTTAATGGTCTTTAACACAGCCAACTCCCCCGAGCTTGAAACAGCGTTAAATTCTCTTTTGCTAGTGGCAAAAGAAGCTGTCAAGCACAACATTGAAAAATTGGTACCATTTCCTGGCCAGTAAGCACAGAACCAAGGGGCTAAATATTTTATGTTTGTTTTTATTTATTTATTTATATTTATTTATTTTTGTTCTCATGCTGTTTTTTCCCCCTCTTCCTCTCTCTTTCTCCCTCTCCTCCTCAGGGCTGATCGTTGTGACATTAGCAGTATGCTGGATGCCAAACCAGATTCGAAGGATCATGGCTGCAGCCAAGCCCAAGGATAACTGGACCAGGTCCTACTTCCAGGCATACATGATCCTCCTACCCTTCTCCGACACCTTCTTCTACCTCAGTTCGGTGGTCAATCCGCTCCTGTACAACGTGTCCTCGCAGCAGTTCCGCAGGGTGTTTGGGCAGGTGCTGCGCTGCCACCTGACCCTGGAGCATGCCAACCAGGAGAAGCGCCTGCGCGCCCACGGACGCTCTACCACCGACAGCGCCCGCTCGGCCCGCAGCCCGCTCATCTTCTTGGCTTCCCAGCGCAATTCTTCTGCAAGGAGAACTAACAAGGTTTTCTTAAGCACTTTTCAAAGTGAGGCCAAGCCCGAGTCTGAGTCTGATCCCCAGCAACTGAGTCAGGAGTCACCACAGCCCAACTCAGAGACGAAACCAGCCAATTCTGCTGTCGAGAATGGTTTTCAGGAGCATGAAGTGTGAAATGTCAAACAAGGAAACCTTGAGTGGGAACTGGCCCTTCCCCCACGAAAGCAAGTCACAAAATTAACTGTGCCCCATCCGGGACAGAATGGAAGCTAGCGGCCCTGGGAAGGCAGATGCCCACCTTCGCGGCTTCCAAAGGCTGATTCTGCCAGCCTTGCCTGGCTGGTTAACATGAACCCGGGTGCTGCACTTCTGCTCCACTCCCTCCCTTGAGTACACATTGAAAATTCAGTCCGACTGAATTTATTCAGAGCTTACAAAGTGTTTTACAGGGAGCTCTTTCATTATTTGCAAATGAACGAAAAGAGAACAGACACCCCTCTCTACCCAGAATAAAAGGACAACTCAGAAGAGGTGGGGGAGGTGGAAGAGCGAGGGCCAGAAGAACAATGCAGGTAGCGATGGCATCTCTGTCAGCTTCAGCAGTGTGCCAAGAAGACGGCTAATTTGAGGAGCAGGATGGTGGTGGGGAGCCCTGGCCTGAGGGCTGAAGCAGAACTGCCTCTTTTCTTGGGCCTTGGCCCGTTGCAAAGAGGGGTGTTGCAGCAGCTGATGCACACTGAGTTCAGCTTCCCCGGGGAGCAGAAGGACTGGTACCCGGCGGAGGCAATGAGACAGGCAGCTGACGATGCGCACGACTTGCGGTACATGATCCCTGCAACACAGACCCAAAGGAGCTGGGTTAAGGTGTTGGCCAAAGGACAGTTATCCCTTTGAGCTTAAATTCAAATGGAGGCTCCTCCTTACTCCTCCCACAGCCCAGAGTCTTGGTGGGGCCAAGGGTTATTTCACTGAACTCCCCAAATACACAAGACCTATGCTGAAAGAGGCAATCATTATTTCACTACTTTTGACAAAATTGTTCCAAAAGGTATTTTAGATGCCAACACCAGTGAATAAAGAGCTGTTAAAAATCAAAGTCTGTTTTCTTAAAGCTAGTGTTCATACTTTGTACTCAACACAAAGATTTTTATTTACTTTTTTGGTTCAAAATATCTCATGCCAGGAGGACCACACACAGCTGTTACTACTTTATCGGTGACCAAAGAGAGATGGCTCTCAACTGTGTGCTTCTTATATCCTAGAATTCTTTGACCAAAACCCCAAATCCCCAAAAAGGAATACAAATTCAGTCCCTACTGCACAGGCCTGATTTTTCCCAGAAGTGATGGTCCATGGGATTTGATGGAGAGGTGGCCTGGCTGACAGTGTGCCCAGGACAACTTCATCCTTAGGGAGGAAGAAGCTCTGCTCTTAGGACAAATGGTCATTTGCCAAGTTGGCATCAAAAAGCTGGCATTCAATAATGCATGCCATCCGGGTATAAAAAAAGAGCTTCCTGAGAAGATGGGAGGGCTTGACTGAAGGAACATATGTGCTCTGTCCAGTTGCACTGCAGTCATCAAATTAGGGTGTCCTAGATAATCATTTGATTTCTGAAAGCCAAAAGTCCACTCATATTAAATAATAAGTTTATCTAAGGGCTTTCCTGGATTCCAGACACTATTCAGATGGTTTCAATATCCTAGTTCATTCTCTACCGTGCTATAGTTTGAATCTGGAGCATGAGTCAGAGGCCCTCATGACTTGTTTCCTAACAAGGCACTACAAGGAAGTAGTGGAAATTTTTAAGAAAACGGGCCATGTAAGAAAGAGGTCTTGGGTCACCCAGGGCATGCCCTCAAGGGGGATTGTGAACTTCAGCCTGTTCCTCCCTCTTCTTTCCTTCCTGGCTATGAGATGGAGCTCCTACACATGCCCCCCTACCATGATTTGTGGCTTTGTCATCCATCGGCCCATAACTCTTGCCTGCAACCTCCACAACTGTTATCCCAAAAAAACCTTTCCTTTGCCTAAGCTGATGATCTCAGTTCATCATCTTTGTTGCTACATAATGGAAAGCTGACTAACATATACCAAGAGTAGCCCTCTAATAGAGGTTTCCATGACCCACCTCACTGTACAGATCAGGGGCCTGAGGGCCAGTAGCCAAGGATATAGCAACTTGCCTGAGGTCACACAAGTAGAAAGTGGAACAGCTGGGATTTAAACCTGGAATTCAGGCTCTGTTGCCAGCACAGTAGACAGCCAAATAGCCATGAAAATGGTGGAGTTTGCAGGGGCGGGGGTGGCGGGGGCGAGGCATGACTTTATTAGGAAGACAGTTTGGGGTATGTGTGGTTATTTTATATGAATTACCTTTTTTGACAGATAATGTTTAATTCTGATGCTGGACTTGGAAGTGAATGGTCTCAGCCTGTTGGCCGCTCAGCACATCCCACCAGTAGCAGGGTCTCTTTTCCTACTAACTCCCCGCAGGTATATTTTGGGCATGGGCTCCCTCCTCCATGAGAATTGCCACTTTGGGTGTGTAGAAATAGTAAAGAATCAAACTGCCTAAAACTTAAAAGTGGGAGGTAAAGAAATGCTTTAGAATTGCCTTAAAAACATGCAATTTTATGTCATTTTTTTTCTATAACTACATGTTTGTAAGGACTGATTTTCTAACACTTTTAGAAAATCCTGGAAGGTAACTGCTCTAGCACTATGAAGCCCATGTACAGAGGACGTGTGTATGTGTACGAGTGGGAGGCATTGTTTAATTTCTAAGGAATATGCTTCAAGTATTCTCTACATTTTCTATTCATGTCCCCTCCTTTTTTAGGAAATTTAAGTTTTACTTACTATCTTTTTATTCTAAAATTCTAAAAGCACTGCCATTTGCCAGTTCAGCTACAGTGAACTTCTACCATTTAAGTGAATTTTAAAGAATTTAAAATATATTTTTTGACTGAATATATTTTTCACTGTAGCAAAGTTCAAATAGGCTAAGGTTAAAAAAAAAAAAGTAGCTCCTGATCACCATTGCTGAACCTAGGGCCTCCACAGTCACCTTTGAGGCATACTGCCATTGTGTTTAGTGTCCCACTTTTTAATGTCTACTTCTGCATATTTACATACGGTATCTATGAGTGTGCTTGCGCTCATGTGTCCATGGTGTTACACCCAATGTGCCATTCTTCAATTTGCATTTTTACTTAGTGACATTGCTGGAGGTTTATTTTTGAGCAGAACTTTGTAGGGTTATGGGTCAGTGACAGGATAGGTTAAAGAGAACATGAGGTTATGAAGAGAAGAACCCGCAAAGCCAAAATCTGTACATCTGATGAGACCCTCGTGTCTTTAACCAGAAACAATTTATCTTCACAAGAGATGTTACGAGGAGGGTAGATCTGTGGCCAGAAGCAAGCTCTTAAGTTGGTGACTCATGAACTGATGCTAATACCACAAAAAGGCTTTCTGAAGGAGGAGGGTGAGCACTCCATGAAAAGAGAGGCATTTCCTGGGTTCTAAGATGAAGAAAGAGAGAGAAAGGGTTCGCTGGCAGACAGTGTATTGTCTGTGAGCCAGGGCCATGAGTCTGAAAGCAAAGTGGAAGTCCTAGTCTGGAGACTATAGCTAGAGATGCTCTGGGTGAGACTGGAGGTGGCTAAAGAGGTTTCTAATTACGGCATTTGCTGGTAAATGGATGGAACTGGAGACTATCATGCTAAGGGAAATAAGCCAGCCTCACAAAGCCAAAGGTCAAATGTTTTCTCGGTTATGTGGAAACTCATCTAAAGTAAGGAAATAAGGGGGAGAGAGACAGGGAAAAGAGGAAGGAATTCCATCAAAAAAAGAAAGAAGATCTGTGGGCTAGATGAAGGGAACTGGCAGGGTTGGGGGAGAAGAGAGAAGGGAAGAAGAGGAATGCCTCTAACCTAACTTTCCTATGTACGTACATAAATATACCCAGTGAATCCCACATTATGTATATCCAAAAGACACTGACCAAAAAGAGAAAAAAAATTCAAAAGCAGAAATATCAGTAGAGTAAAGGGAAGGGAACTGTTGAGAGCCACAGCCCAAGGGGCCCCAGCAAACTTCCAGCAGCCGGCTGATGATTGGCTCACAGCGGCCCCAGCAACATCTAGCTGATTGGCTCCTCTGCGGTGATGCTCATTGGCTGTTTCCCTGCCCTTTCAGACCACGGAGCTGCTCATTGGGGGACTTTTTTGGCTCCGCCCACGCGACCCAGCCAACTGGCCTCAAGAGCAGGAGGATTGTGGGAGGTGGGGAGGCTGTTGTTTGTGAGAGAGGCTTGTGGGAAGTTGGTGGTGGCAGTTGGGCACTGAGGTTTTTTTCCTGAGGAGCTGTTTTGTTTGGCTGTGTGGTTCTAAAAATAAAGTTCGTTTCTTCTGACAAGTGGCTCCTGAATTGTGCCCAGCCAGACTGCTGAAGGGAACAAAGAGAGGGAGGAGAAAAGAGAAAGGGGGAAATACTGGGAATTGAATTTGAGTAGATTATATTCCATGCTTTTTAAATTATGTCAAAATGAATCCTAATGTTATATATAACCAAATAGAAACAAAAAATGTAAAAAAAAATAAAATAAAAGAAATTGGGGAGGAAGGCGTATAGGGAGGGTCAGGAGGAATGGAGTTGGGGGTATGTGGAGCAGTTTCATATTGTTCTTCACATAAATCTTTATCATGGGTAAAGAAAAAGAGGTCTCTAACTTCACAAAAGGCCAGTGCACAGGTATGTAGATGCTGGCGATGGAGATATTCATAAACAACAATGAAAAAGGACCCTAAAACTAAACTGTGGCAGTGGTAGAAGAAAGAGGTAGGAAATATTGTAGCAGGAGGAATGGAGAATTTCAGATTAAAAAGGACTTTGAGAAAACAGAAATGTGTTCTGCTCATGTTCTTGATTGAAATGAGCTTAGTAGAGATGACATAGTGCCTTTGAGAAGTAGGATGAGGCTGTGTAGGGAGGCTGGGGCAAAGAGGTTGATCATTTGGAATCTGCAAAGCGACCTCTCCCAGGGCCTCACATAAAGAAAGGTGAGCATTCAGAGTGAACTCTATCTTCAGCAAGCACCTGGAAATGAAGAGGAAGTCCGAGGACAAACCGGAGTGGTCTTGGGGAATATTAAGGATTGTCCTAGAAGAAGTAGGTGACTAGATATCACACAGCTGCCAGGGAGCTTAAAGAAAATGCCATTAGGCTTTGGCATATGGAAGCCAGGGATGGTGGGGTGTGCGTAGAAAGCCACTGGAGGGGATCTAAAGCAAAAAGGGTGGAGATGTGTCTGATGAGTCCAGCTGAAAGAGAATATGTCACTAAGTGGAAGGGCAGGTAAGAGTACAGTACTAAGACAAGTTCTACCACTCATATGTTTATCATGACAAATGTCAAATGGATCTCAGATTTAAATGTTGGGAAAAAAATAAGACCATAAAAGTACTAAAAGATCCTTTGGAATTGTATGCAATTCTTTTATCATGGAAGAGTAGTATATAGGCTATTTTATGATACAACCCCCAAAAAACCATTACAGAAAGGATTGATAAATTAGCAGAGAAAAACAATTTTTAATATATCTGTCTGGTAAATTCCCTAAACAAAAGTGAAAAGACAGGGAGAGTAACTGTAATTCAAATCACGAAGAGCAAACTTCCTTAATATGTAAAAGGTCCTAGAAATCTGTAAGGAATGAATAAGAAGTAATAAGTCAGTGAGGAATAAATAAATAATAACACATTTATAAGATGGAGGAAGCAAAGGGACAGTTTGCAGACAAGGACACAGAGCTTTGGAACACAGGAA